CTTGCGTGGAGCCCAAGATCGAGGGACATTATCAGTGGTCTTGTATGTCTTCCATTTTCTAATTATTGCTCCCACAGTTGATTTGTTCACACCAAGCTGCTTGCCTATTGCAGATTCAGTCTTTCCAGCCTGGTGCAGGTCTACAATTTTGTTTCTGGTGTCCTTCGACAGCTCTATGGTCTTCACCATAGTGGAGTTTAGAGTGTGACTGTTTGAGGTTGTGGACAGGTGTCTTTTATACTGATAACAAGTTCAAACAGGTGCCATTGATACAGGTAATGAGTGCAGGACAGAGGAACCTCTTAAAGAAGAAGGTACAGGTCTGTGAGAGCCAGAAATCTTGCTTGTTTGTAGGTGTGACCAAATACTTATTTTCCACCATAATTTGCAAATAAATTCTTTCCAAATCAGCCAATGTGATTGTCTGGATTTTTTTTCTCATTTTGTCTCTCATAGTTGAGGTCTACCTATGATGCCAATTACAGGCCTCTCTCATCTTTTGAAGTGGGAGAACTTGCACAATTGGTGGCTGACTAAATACTTTTTTGCCCCACTGTAGCGCCAACAGTTTGTGCAGCGCTTTACAACATGAAGGTAGACATTACAGTTACAATACAGTTTGGTACAAGAGGAAACAGATGGCCCTGCTCGTTAGAGCTTACAATCTAGGAGGAAAGGTACTTTGATGACAAATTGTCATGTTCAGGAACACCGCTCCCGCCTTTTGTCAGCAGCCATGTCTTGCTGCTGGTACTGGAGCAGCTGATAAGTTGGTACGACACGCCTTTACTTTGTGACTTAGAATGTTGATGGTGGGGATAGCAAAGTCAGATGCGGGGGCGTGTAAAATAAAATGTTAAAAGCTAGCAGTACATGTAGCAGTTTGTGAGTGATCTGTGTACAAGCGTTAGCAACTACTTATCTTCTGTGTGTAGTACCCTCTTGTGTGCTACTAGAATAGTGTAGGCAAATCTATTGTGTATGACTCATGGTAACTGTGTGAGTCTGTGATTAAGATTGGATTACTGCAGGTGAAGCTGGATGATTTAACAGACTGGTACTCTATCACCCCGCAACCTGGTTCTGGAAGACCATTGGAACCTTCCAGAAGCCATTGCGTGGAAGAGGTGGAGACCAAATCAGCATGTTTATTGGGAATCTAAGCAATCCTAGGTTTGGAAGCCCTGGTAGAGTGGTGGACCAGCCCATAAATATGGGAAAATTAGGCTGGCAGGGGAGTCGGTTGGAAGATGGAGTGCTGAGGAGACTGTCGGTGGCCTGGGAGGGATCCCCTAGGGCTAGGGGGGACTGGCTCGGGCTGGCTTAGGAGGATCCATTCAGCATCACGGCGTGCACAGGACCGAGGCCTGGGAACAGTGGAAGCAAGGAGGACAGGGTGAGTACATCAGCACACCCAGGGATAAACAAAGGGTAAGACTGCCATATGTAGCAAGCCTTCAAAGCACAGCGCTGTGCTTAATCCTTTATCCTTGTCCTGGGAGATCTTCAGGGCAGCCAGGAGGACTGGTAGTGTCAGGCATCCCTTCGTGCAGCCGTGCGACGGCGGTGAATCCCCTCTGGCAGCGGGTGCACATGTGTGGGAGCGTGCGGAGCAGCGTACATGTCACCGCAAGGCGGACTATTTAAACCTGCAATACAGTTTAGTACATACCTTCTGGTCTATAACGTTCTGCACTCCATAACCTGATTCTGTTGCCTGTATCTGATCTGACCCTGACTAAGAAAGAACTCCTCCTGCACCGACCCCGGCTTATCCCTGACTATCCCTTGTACTTGATTTGCTCGTTTGATCCTGACCCGGCTTGTCTGACTCTGCTGCACCTTCTTACCTGTATCTGCACCTGGCCTGTATCTTGATTGCTTCCATACTTACCTACTGCTGCACCCACGGTCCTGCACCTGGCCTGCATCCTGGTCACCGCCATACTTACCTGCTGCTGCACCCACGGTCCTGCACCTGGCCTTCATCCTGGTTACCGCCATACTTACCTGCTGCTGCACCCACAGTCCTGCACCTGGCCTTCATCCTGGTTACCGCCATACCTGCCTGCTGCCGCATCCACGCTCCTGTGTCCATTCCCGGTCTGCATCCTGATTGCCGCCATACCTGCCTGCTGCTGCCCACGTTCCTGCATCCGCACCTGGCCTGCATCTGGATCTCCTGGGTCTTCACCTGCCTGCTATCAGCTTCAGACCCACCCAGGACTCGTGCCACTCCTGGCTATGCGCCCTCTGTTCCCACTATCAGGGGCTCCAAGCGGGGAGTAGTAAGAGGATGCCTCCTCTCCACGACAGGCTCCCCAAAAAGGTACGTGACAGGTAGTGTCTGCAGGCTGGGAAGCTGGGAGCAGCTCTACAGGGGAAAGGAGACATCTCTGTATGAAGTTTACAAGTTAAGCTGATTTTCAGAGGGGGGGGGGGGGGCTACAAGTCCCTCAACTGTAAGGGCAGTTGCTACTGATTTGCAAAGACTGATGGCTTTCAAAGAGAAGAACAGGATCTGTTTCTGAAAATAGGAAGGAAGTTGTCTCCATGTATAATTCCTATTACCCTATCCAAGTTATTTTCCCCTAATAAAATAACAAAAACCAAGCTCATGGACTGTTCACAATGTGGATGAAAGTGTGGAATATGTGTGTTGCCTGGCTTTGCAGAGCTTAAGGGCAGGGGCGGACTGACAACTCATAGGGCCCCCGGGCAATAGGGGATCATGGGGCCCCTGTGTCCTTGCCCAAACTCAAAAAAGCCTATGAAAAAGGTACCAGGGGCATGTCATGGGGCCCCTACTGACCCCGGGCCCTCGGGCAGTGCCCGAGTTTCCAAACAGTCAGTCCGCCCCTGCTTAAGGGTACCTAGAAGCACAGTGGCCCTCACGAGGGTAGTGCTACATGTGCTTTGCAATTGACTGGGAATATTGAGCAAAAATAGGACCGATCATTAAAAAATGTAAACCATGGATTAAAAAACTGATAATTTCATTGATATGCATTATAAAGGATTCTCCTGCACATACAGATATTTGTTCCACCAATCGGAATCGATCAACAAATTTCTGAAACGGCCAATCAACACAGCAAAGTCGAAATCAATTAAGAGTTGATTAAACAGAGTCTCTGGTTTCCTGTTTAAAATCAGTTTAGGTGCTTTGAATGATCGATTAAATGATCATATTGATAGGTGTGTGGTCGTCTATTGATATTGTGGAAACCAGTGACCTGTAACATTTCTCTACATTGAAGCCACGTCCTCAAGGCAGTCTAACTGTATCTGCTCAGCCTCAACCACATTGGCCTGTCCCCAGTCCTTTTATGATACAGTTAGTGGGAACTGGTGAAAGTTCAGTTTCTCGTGAACCTTTTCACTCTTCGCTGCACATTCTTCAATGTGCTAAACGTTTGTGGTGATAGTCACTTTAAGCACTTCCTCTTTGACTTGACAGAAGTTAGCTTGTTGCAATCCTTGACAAGTATTTCTCTGAGCATACGACACCTCTGCTATCTCACTTCTCCGGAAAAATATTTTACAGTTGCGTTACACCATCGTGAGAGGAAAGGGCCAAGTTTTTACTTGGCAGAACATTCAGGCATTGTTTGACAGCTTCCAAAAAGAAAAAAAGAGAAATACAAGATAGCCCACACTGAGTTGGTGGAAAAGCACACTCATTGCAAATCCTAGTGCCCACATTCTATATGTGTTGCATTCTCTACGGGGTACTGAATAACAGAGATAATGATACTGATTACATGCTTCCCTTCCCTTATTTTCCATGGATCCCTTCTAACAACAACCAGGAACAGGGTAGGGGGGGAAAGGGGTTGTAAAATCGAGTTAATGAAAATCAAAAGAAGACAAAAAAAAAAAAAGAGATTTGATCTGAAAAGAAAGGGGGCGACAGATAGGCTATAATCTCGTTGCTAAAAATATATCACTTGATGAGTAATTACTGGGGATTAAAAATAAAAAAAGAGGCACTGAAATGTAAAACATCAAGTTCAGCTTTGGGCAAGAGGACGCAAATGATAGGCGCTGACATCTGGTCAACGTCACAGGGCTTGTACGCAGACTGTTTTGATGCTGTGGTGTTTTTTTTTTTTCCTGCGCAAAATGCAATAGAGCGTAAAGAGAAAAATATATGTGGTACATATTTATTACATCAGACATATAGAGCATTAAGAAAGTTACTAATTATATTTTCTCCAGATAGCACAGAGACAAACAACACTGTACCCTTATATAGAACCCTCTATATTTCTATAAACAGCTGTTCTATTTTTACACATTGATAAATTCTGCCACCTCTATTCACAGAGCTCTACAGAGAACATGGAGGATGGTAACACACTTAGCTCTGGTTCACATATATGCGGTCATACGGGCCGCGTTTTGTGCAGGCACGAAAGCCCATTCATTTGAATGGATTCCCGTGCCCTATGATATGCAGAGAAGTCCCTGCACTTCTTCTAAAAATGCAGCCCACACAGGATCTCGGTTCCTAGTACGGTTGCGTTTTCCAGTACGAGCGGCGTGCCATTAGAACTAATGGCACCCACCTGTGGGTCCACATTCCTCTGTGCGAGTGGTGCACGGAGTCTTGTGCGGATCCACAGCGGCACCACCCGAACAGATGTGATCCTAGCCCTAACTACCGAATGACGGCTACATTGCGGCCGGCCAGTTTTGGGAGAGTGTTGTATGACGTCCTCCCAGAACGCGCTCTCCTGCGCGCGCCCCCGGCGATCTCTATGTTCGCTGTGTCCTACAGACACAGCTGATCACGTGATGTGGTAAAAGGCCAATCACAGCGGCCTTTTACCACGTGATCAGCCGTATCCAATGACACGCTGATCACTGGGAAATGCAATTGCCGGTTCTCGGCTGCACTTTCCTCACGCTGTCGGAGCACGAGGAAAGTACTGCCGAGAACTGGCAGTTGTCAGAGCAGGGATCGGCACCAATTATCAGGGCACTGATGATCGGTACCCAGCAGTGCCACCCACCAGTTTCGCCCACCTGTCCCCAGCAGTGTACCCACCTGTGCCCAGCAGTGCCACCTACCTGTGCCCAGAAGTGCCACCTATCTGTGCCCAGCAGTGCCACCCACCTGTGCCGACCCACCTGTGCCCACCAGTGCCACCCACCAGTGCCACCCACCAGTGCCCATCAATGCAGTGCTGCCAGTCAGTGCCACCAGTCAGTGCCCAGCGGTTGTGCCAGTCAGTGCCCAGCAGTTGCTCCAGTCAATGCCTAGGAGTACCACCATTCAGTGCCCAGCAGTGATGCCAATCAGTGCTACCTATCAGTGCTGTCTATCAGTACCCATCATCAGTGCTGCCTCTCAGTGCTGCCTCTCAGTGCCGCCTATCCGTGACACCTCATTAGTGCTGCCTATCAGTGCCGCCTATCCGTGCCACCTCATTAGTGCTGCCTATCAGTGACCTTCAGTGCTGCCTATCAGTGCCCATCAGTGCTGCCTATCAGTGCCCATCAGTGCCGCCTATCAGTGCCCATCAGTGCTACCTCATCAATGCACATCAGTGAAGGAGAGAAATTACCTGTTTGAAAAATGCTATAATAGAAACAAAGAAAAAAAAAATTTTCAAATTTTTTGCATTTTTTTTGTTTATAGCGCAAAAAGTAAAGTGCCCAGTGGCAATTAAATATCACCAAAAGAAAGCTCTATATGTGAGAAAAAAATGATCAAAATTTCATATGGGTACAATCTTGCATTACCGCGCAATTGTCAATCAAAGTGCGACAGCGCTGAAAGCTGAAAATTGGCCTGGTAAAGAAGGGGGTATAAATGCCCGGTAGGTAAGTGGTTAAAGAACAGTAACGTTCTGGGAACTATCTGTGGGATGTGGTGTGCTGTGTTGACAATAAACATCCCTTTTTGATTTTTTGTGCATTGTAGTATGCTGTCAACCTATTCAAAATAAATGGGCAGCCCTAATGCAAAGAACATTGAAACAGAACTCCAGCCTTACCTTAACCGCTTTTATACTGTGGCACCACTATAAAAGGTAGATTGGTGGACAGTTGTTTACATTTATAAATTGTGTTGGATAAAACATTGTTGGGCAGACATCAGTAATATTGGTGAACCAAGCTGTCTTCGAACAGCTCTGTTCACAAACACTGTGTACAGAGCCAATCTAAGTGGCTCTGTAACATAGCATAGAGAGACCAATGAGAGCAATCACGAGGTGATTCTTGTCCTCCCCTTCTCTTGTCCTCCCTGTTCTCTTACAACAAAAGAAAGGGAGGAAACAGAAACTAATGAATGAATGAATGACAATTTCATTAGTCCTTGAATCACATTAGTAGCTGAAAAGCTTTTTAATTTTTTCTTCTCTCCTATGCTACTGATCTCCATAGTGCCTCTGTATATGGCCTGTATATTAATCCTTCACATCCAATTAGTCTGCTCATCTGCATATAAACTCCTTCATCTTCATCCTCCCACTGTATGTAATCTGTACATTAACCCTGTCACCACCTCCTCCCTCTGTGTTTGATCTGTATGTGCTCTATCTAGTGCACCATTACAAAACCCCATGTTTTAACCCCTCAATAGCAGTTCTTTATTTCTAAAAACAGGTGGCAAAAAATGTGATCACCTTGGGGTGTTGACGTTGCAAAAATGGGGCTCATTTGCAATGACCATGCATTTTTCTATTAACAGAATGTAAGGGTTTTTTTTTTAACAGTTTTGGTATTTTTTTCCTATGTATAGTAAACAATAATAAAACAATGGTTACTAACTAAATACTAAATACTGCTACATGGCAGCAGGGGGTGCGCAAAATCACGTATATATACGTAATTTAGCATTTCCAGGTAGGGGGCGGAAGCAGTGTGCTTACAGTGAAGCACGCGGACACAGCACATAGTGAAACAACACACAGTTAACCCTTTGATCGCTCCTCATGTAAACCCCTTCCTGCCCATTGCCATTAGTACAGTGTCAGTACTTTTTTTTTTAGCACTGATCACTGTATTGGTGTCCCTGGGGATGTCAGTGACACCAAGTCAGTTACCCCCAGTGTCAGAATGCCGCATCAGTCCGGCTATAAATCGCTGATCACCGCCATTACTAGTAAACAAAAAAAAGATCCCAGCAGGGGCGGACTGACCATTTGGAAACTCGGGCACTGCCCGAGGGCCCAGGGTCAGTAGGGGGCCCCATGAGATGCATACAAAAAAAGAGGGTTGTGAAAAGAGATTCACAGAAAAGCGGCTACATAATGAACAGAACGTGACACTCAGGAAATAATTTCCAAAAATTATGCTTTATTACACATATATAGATATGACATATGGGCATTTGCCCTGGTTTACCATCACCTCAGTATGAGACAATACACACAGACCTAAAACCATTTAAAATGACACCAGAACCGGTCTAAATGTGTGTGTACAGCAGGGAAAATGGCTACATGAGTCTAGTGTCCCTGTAGCACAGACACATAGGTGAACACTTCCCTAGGGAGGTGTATCCAAAAATTATGCCATGGGCATACCAAAATGGAGGATATAAGGGATTAAGCAGTAACCATAATGGCAAATCCCTGTCAAGGAATCCAAAAATTATGCTATAATGTGTATATCACATGTATGCAATTGAGCAAGCACAATATGCGTCAAAAAAAGGAGAGTAGCAGGCCTCAGGCCTGTATGAAGAAAGACATAAATGTCAAATATATTATACAATATTGGTCCTGACGAAGCTGAGTGAGATACCCCATCGGCGAAACGCGTTGACGTCATACGTCAGATACGTCACTTCCGGTTATGCGCACTAGGTGGAACGCACGCTGACCCATAGGGAGGAAGCCATCTTCACAAGCCATGAGGCAAGCTTAAGCAGCACAAGCGCCGAGAAGGGGCTGGAACCCGCGGTATATCGGCGGATGTCAGCGGTGGTTCCTTGGCCGCCTTGGCCCTGTATGGCAGTACCTATGAAGGACTTTTCTTTCATTCCTGTTATCCATAGCACAGGTGGTGAGTGGATCGTTACAGGACATTAGATATATGGTCCTCTGTGATCTATATGACCTATATATCTTCCATAGAGTGTTAGCTCTGTCAGTGACTTTCCACATATTGTTTGTTTCACTACAGGATGGGGACATCATGGTGCTATGTATAGGAAACAAGATATACCATCATATATATCTCAACAGGCAGAAGAGTCTTTGGGATGTGTCGTATCTTTTCCTACAAAAAGTGGTGTATAGTCCACATGCAGTGGTGAAGAAACCATTTCAAGCAGAGTGCTGCTGTGTGCATCTTTTCCTCCATCCTGGAAATAAATGGGGCATATTCCCATCTAAGAGCTTTAGGAAACAGCTATCTATATTACAGATGAATGGGCCCCAACCACTTGTGCCGGCACAGGAATGTATTGTATAATATATTTGACATTTATGTCTTTCTTCATACAGGCCTGAGGCCTGCTACTCTCCTTTTTGACGCATATTGTGCTTGCTCAATTGCATACATGTGATATACACATTATAGCATAATTTTTGGATTCCTTGATAGGGATTTGCCATTATGGCTACTGCTTAATCCCTTATATCCTCCATTTTGGTATGCCCATGGCATAATTTTTGGATACACCTCCCTAGGGAAGTGTTCACCTATGTGTCTGTGCTACAGGGACACTAGACTCATGTAGCCATTTTCCCTGCTGTACACACACATTTAGACCGGTTCTGGTGTCATTTTAAATGGTTTTAGGTCTGTGTGTATTGTCTCATACTGAGGTGATGGTAAACCAGGGCAAATGCCCATATGTCATATCTATATATGTGTAATAAAGCATAATTTTTGGAAATTATTTCCTGAGTGTCACGTTCTGTTCATTATGTAGCCGCTTTTCTGTGAATCTCTTTTCACAACCCTCTTTTTTTGTATGCCTCTTTTGGCTACTGAATGGAGACCATACATTGGGTGACACGCTAATTTATCCAATAACCTCTTAAATAATTATCTTAGTATATGGGCCCCATGAGATGCCCCTGGTACCTTTTTCATAGGCTTGTTTGAGTTTGGGCAAGGACACAGGGGCGCCATGATCCCCTATTGCCCGGGGGCCCCATGAGTTGTCAGTCCGCCCCTGGATCCCAGTATATATACCGCCATTTATAAACACTATAACTTTCAATTACACCAATTATTTTACACACATTGGAATTTACTTTAGCAAAGACGTAACAAAATACACTTTGACCTAAATTTATAATGAAATTTGACTTTTTAAATTTTTTTCCTGGACATGTTTAATAGCAAAAAGTCAAAAATATTTTTTTTCTCAAAATTGTCGGTCTTTTTTTTTTATAGTGCAAAAAATAAAAACCGCACAGGCGATCAAATACCACAGAAAGACAGCTCAATTTGTGGTAAAAAAAAAGGACGTAAATTCCATTTGGGTGTAGCTGCGCAATTGTCACATAATGTAACGCAGTGCCGTAACACAAAAAATGGCCTGGTCAGGAAGTGTTACATGACAGAGTCATTTTGAATCAAAATATCACAACACTGGAAACTGAAAAATGGTCTCTGGTAATGATTCAAAGATGTATTACAGGCTGGTACTCAAGTGTTTAAAGTTTACACAGTTTTACAGGCTCCTCTCCTGTGCTAAAAGTTGCTTAACCTGATTTCACTGCACACTGTGAGCTTCCCTCCAATAACCCTCCAAATTATTCAGTTTAGGTGTTTCCTGTAACGGTTACTGTTACAGTAGACAAATGCATTTTAGGCAATTGTGTGCTTCCATGCTTCCAACCACCATTTGAGGAAGGCTCCTTTCTGTTCCATTATATTTGCACCTCTATGCACAAAGCCAGCTCTATAAAGACACAGCTTGGCCAATTTGGTGTAGAGGAACTCAAGGAGCCAGGTCTTTTCATCCAACATGAGTACCTGACATCCCAAATGCTCTTATTGGCTGAATATGTATTCATTTCCACAGACACTCTACCAAAATCTTTAAGAAAGCCTTCCTAGAAGAGTGGAAGCAGTTACTGAAATAAAGCAGGGCAACTCCAAATTAATGCCAATGGCTTTACGATAGAATGTCCAACAAGCTCACATAGATGTGATGGTACACAAACATTTAGGCCATATAGTGTAAGAAGCAGCCATGTCAAACCTTTGCCTTAGGTCAAGGTCTAAATGACCTTTCCGCAGTTCAGGATATGGTCAAACATTTCATCACAAGCTCCAACACACTTATACTTTCAGTCTCGGTTCATCACATCTATAAGGAAACGTTTCCAGAGCTGCTGATCTGCTGGAATTTTTACCCTAGAAATAAATGAATTCATTAAAAGCCCTTGAAACTAGTCAGAAACCAATA